AAACGTGAGCCACACCGAATTAAACGTATGAAAATGCATTAAAGCTTAATGCGTCTCTCCCGCGGGACGCGGTTCAGCGAACGTCGGCGCGCGCATCGCCGCGCTCGACGCAGCGTTTATCGTGCATTGTCGCTCGCCGGTAAAAAGTGACATCGCCATAAGTCACCGGCGATCGTTGTTAACGTGGTTTATTCAGGGCCAGATTCCGTCGCAGATAAGCGGAAACTATTCAGCCGCGACGGCGGGGGCGCGCGGCCGTGCCATTTCACCCCGAAAAACCAGCCTGCGAAATAAAAATCTCGGAGCCGGGCAAACAAAGATTAATCTCCGTCGGCGTCGCGAATGGAAATCGTACCGGTTTCCGGGCCATCGATCACCGCTAGCAAAACGCGCTCGCCCGCTCGCTCGCTCAGCGATTCGGTGTCGCGCCGCAGGTGCGCCGGCAGAAGCGATCCGAAATTAACCTAATTAGCCGCGCGATTAGCAGCTGCAGACACGGGCGACGGCGACGACGACGACGGCGCGCGAACGCCGTCGACGACGCCCCCCCCGTTCTTACCCGCGCGCCCGCAGCCGCGTCCGCGCTGCGGAACCCCGCGCGGCGGGGCCGGTCGCGCATTAATGGATCCGAAGGGGGTGCATTACCCCATACGCCCCGGCGCGGCGCGCAGCGTCGTGTCTAATTATCCGAAATAATTATGCGCACATGTGCCATGCGGGCCGCGCCGCTTTTCGGTAACGCACCGGACCAGACGCGTCGCGGGCGCGCGCGTCCGCCACGATTTGCCGCATCTCGCCCGGCTAGTTTGTGCGTTTGCGGCCGCCGCAAATATCACTTCCTGCGCCGGACAAGATCGTTGATGATTGCGGCGCGTGATGTTTCGTACAAATTACATTACATTGTCACACCGCGCCGAGGGAAACGCGTATGACCGCCCCGTTGAAATTATCCGAGTATTTCGGCCTCGGTTCGGCCTCGTATCACTTTTGAATTGGGAGCGATGGGCTCGAACTAAGGTCTTTGTGCCGAAGCAAATATATTGATATGGAAAAATTAATTAAGTATGATAGCCCGTTTAGTTGTGTCAACAAATCGAGGAAAGGCCAATAATATTAACGAGCAATAACGGATGACAATTAAAAATTCATTATTATTGTAAACGAGTTTGAAAAGGCGAAACAATTGAATAAATATAAATGTAGAGCACAAACCGAAATTGTAACGCAGCCAATAGATACATAAAAAAACGCACATCTGAGTCAGAAATTAAAGGGCGAGAGCGTACGTAAAAATCGGAGCGTTAGGAATTACAGTAAATTAAGAATTAAAAATTATCGCAGTTAACAATCGAAATCTTTCGCAAAATAAACGAGTTAAGACAGCGGGTGAGATCAAAGCCAGTGGTTCCGGAGGAAAAAAGGAGAGGCACGGTCAGTAGTTTTTAGCTCCATGTTTCAGAATGGAGATAAATAGATGATGGAACATTTATTATACGCTAAACTCCGTGAACAGTAGGGAGAAAAGTGAAAGAAGGTGGAATAAAAATAAAAGGGTAAAAATGTATAGAAAGTAATGTAAAGGCATGTTGGTTTGGGGATATATCAATCTATGTAGTGAAACTTACGGTGCTGGTTTACAAGTATATTGATTTTAAACGGACCACGGCTGAAATCTATCAAGCACGAAGGTAAAAGACCGAGTCACGGGGACAGTATAAAGTTATGTAGCGATGACAATATTTTTCTTAAACGGCGATAAAATATATTGAATTTTTTACCCCCGACGGGCCTGAAAAGTGTCGCTATTTCCCTCTTAGCAGCAAAGAGGTCAATGCGAGCGTAGATCCTCTTCGGTCTAAGAGGTTTCGAGGAGGGTGAAATATTTTAACACATTCTCTTCGGGGATCAGAATCAGGTTGAACACAATTTTGTTACTCGTCTGAGCCTCAAATTGGAGTGTCAAACCAACTCCGAGGTACAAATGAAGACAGAATAGAATAATTGAGGTCCATCCCGAAACCAAATACTCGACTCGGCTACCCGGCGACTCTCCCGAGCGATACCGAGGCCCGGGTATTGCTCGTCGCGAGATTGATTATAGTAACGTGCGTTTTTTTTGTTTTCATTTCCTAAAGCATTTCGAGCCGCATACGTGCTTTGGGAAACAGAGTCCAGTTTGCCGCTGGCAAATAGGTTTGTCAGAATACGCGATCCGTTCGTGCCGGCCTTTAATTTCTGGCGTACCGACATAAATGGATTCGATGAGCAAACCAGAACCTGCGACCGTGCGTTGTTGGCCAGTAAAGCATGGTTAAGTATGTCGGCGAAGCGGAGTTCGATTACCATTCATTAAATTATGGCAGGGACGCGCATGGCGGCGCGCGCAGAAGTGGCGTTCTATAGTCCGGTTGCTATTGTTGCCGGTGCTGCAATTATTGCTGACGTTGGAAGAATTAGCGCTGTCATTGAACGAATTAATGCCGTCATTGCTGCCGGGCGCTCTCTAATTATTGCTATCATTGCGATAATTCCAATCGATCCCGGCCTCTACTCTGTTCCGAATGGCGCTCGAATTTTTCCAGGTTTCTCCAACGCATTCCACTCGCGGACTGTTATTTGCGCCGCGGAGTCTCTTTGCTACACGAATTTAGTTATCCGCAAATAATTTAATTTATGCGAATATTTACACACACGCGTATGCACCGATATGAATTAATTTGAACAAAAAGTACCAACTTTTATTGAAACTAATCTTATACAGGGTGTTATGTGATACCCGCCTCACCACTTATTTACGAATAGAACGGACTAGCCTGGGTCGAAGAGTCCTTTATCATTTTGCAATTATCGCAATGGTTAACGAGTCATTAATTATTCAAAATCGCAACCTTGTTGCCTGGCCTTCCGCCCAATTCAAGCGCGCGGCGAGATGCGGCCGTCCCGCGATCGGTGTTGCTAGACGCGCGGGGAGATGTTTATTATACGTAGCCCTAGCCGTGTGTCATAAACAACTCCCCGCGCGCCAAGCAACGCCGATCGCGGAACGGGCGCAGGTGCAGGGCTGGGCTAAGACAGCGATTTTAATATTTAATAACTCGTTAACTATTGCGAAAATTGCAAAATGGTAGTGGACTTTTCGACTCAATCCAATCCGCTCTATCCGTAAACAAGAGGTGAGGCGGGTATTACATAACACCCTGTATTTACCAACGTACCGTTTGTTATGATGTCGTTGTTCTCTCGCGTCCAGTAATTGATGGACTTGGGGAACGCCTCGGAGTTGCATTCTAACGTCATTTGTTGGCCTTCTTGCGCGCCCACTAATTGGTTCTGGATCCAAATCATTGGAGTAACTGCCAACAGGAGACAAACGTGAATGAAAATCGATCGTTTGCAAATAAATTGGATAAGCTGTCGAGGCGGCTACTTACAATGTACAACGAGCATAATTCTCTTGCTGACCGTCGGCGGGACGCCGTTGGACGCGATACAAAGATACGCTCCCATCTGCAACCTGTTCACTTTCGTGATATTGAAGACAGGTCCGTCAATACTGGCCACTACAACAGATGGTTTCAGCCATTTCAAATCGCGAAATAAACGCGGCCATTAACGTCATTTTAATTAGGGATGGGATCAAGTTTAATGTATATACTTAAAAATACGAGCCGAATTTAACAACGGAGTTTCGATTCTTGGGATTCGAGTAATCCTCGTAAGAAATAATATTTGATACATTGTGTGGTTGCAAAGTAAATCGAAACTAGATTAGTTGGCTTCGAATTCTCGAATAAGTACCTTCAAGATTCGAAGTAATCGAACGTTTTGCAAGCAGTGCTGTGCAAGCAGTATATTAGGCTGCAGTATACCATATTGTAAACAGTATATTAGGCTGCTCTAAGAATCAAGTTGTTAATGTCGTGTTTTTATATTATTCATATAAAATATTAAGATAAAAACAATACAAAATTAAACTACCATCTCTTCCTTTTTTTTCTTCTTGAATCATTTTCCTTCTACAAACGTTTTGAGTCGAAGAAACTAAAATTTTTTACGAAATGCTCATAAAAGATTCCAACTATTTGGTCCAGGTTCGAGGGCTTGAAAGTACTTTTTTTTAATTTTTCAAAGTAAGTAATGTAATAATACACGGAGAGAATTTTTTTTGAAAATTTATCCTGAAAATAATGCAATCGTCGGACAACACGGCATTCAAAGAATTTTATGAGTTTTTGAAATTTTATCATACATTTCACTAGCAATTATACTTGTGAGTACAATAAAATTTCAAAAAACTCGTAAAATTTTTTGAACGCCGTGTTATCTCACGATTGCACAATTTTCAGGATAAATTAAAAAAACATTCTCTCCGCGTAGGAAGTTCGAAACTACTACAGATTTGAACCTACTTATACGATACTTAATCCCATCATTACAATTAATATATTAGGCTGAAATTAGACATCACATCGTCAACTGTCAAATGTCAAGGATAACGTAATATTACAAAATTGTTAAACAAGTGACTCCAAATATGAAAATCACAGTAAGTCGAGGCAATAAAAGTCAATCTAAAAAATTTTGAAATGAGTTCGCTAAAGCAATATATTTTATATTTAGATTGAATAATTCGACACAACTGGCTACAGGAAATTTTCCTGTATTATTCAACCTAAATGTTAATTAATTACTGGCGATCCAACACTCGAAACAATATATTTAAAATCGCACATTTAAAACTATAAGATAATGAAAAACTGTGAACGTTTCGAATCATTTTTAGTTTACCTTCAGCGCGAGCAATTATAAAAAAGTCCAGTATGAAGAAATAAAAGTTATTACAAATTAAAACTAATTGAAGTAATAAATGAATATAAAAGAATTAACGTTGTTAATTTTGAACAGAGATCAGACGGTCTAATGATGAACATTTACAATGGTGAAAGTTATGAGATTAAAGTTAAAAAAGTATAATATTATAGTAACTGAGATGAGTGCTGATATTTTAATATCTTAGAAATAGTTGAACAGTCGGAAAAATCGGAGTAAAAGCGTTGCGTTGCGGTAAAATAAGATAAAAGATCTGAGGGTACGGGTGTAATCCTGTAAGGTCCGGTGTTTTATTTTCTGGTTAACTGTTAACCAGAGGTTAGTCAACTCTCCATCTTTTTTTATATTATTAACTACGGCTCAGTTTTCCATTTTCTAGCTAATTGTGAGCCAGAGGTTTGTCAATTCTCCGTCTCTTTTTAGATAATAACATAGAAAAAGATGAAGAGTCGACCTACTTCTGGTTAGCAATTAAACAGAAGATGAAAAACTAGGCCGGTCGAAAATAGATGTTCTGTTTCGAATTTAAATGGAAAATGACAAAATTATTAGATGAATCTCCTCTCTTTTACGTCACTTTTATCTTGTTCCGTTCGCAAACAGTATTTGGAGCAGCGAGTCCGAATCGGACGGGGCGCGGAGCGCAAATTCAGTGCATCGGCAAGAAGTTTTCATCAGTCCCGGGCAAAAAATTCCGCAATCGGGACTCGAATTAATACACGTCGGGCACGTTGCTTCGTAGCACTGCGTAACCGATACTAATCACCGCGCCGCAGTTTTTTGCCGCGCGGTCTAATCTCCGTTAACATTACACGCCTCGTACACGCCGTTTCGCAAAACCCGCCTTGCACCCTAGGCGAAACACTTGTCGAGGGCTTTCTTGCCGGTGTACATCTTACTCGAATTCTCAGTTGCGAATATTATGAATGTGCTCGGTGGTGCCGAGCAACTCTCGGCTCTAGGAGCATTGCTCTCTTTACTATCTTGATGAAATGGTTGTATAGTACACAGAAGAAAATCCCATATTATGAGATAGGCTCCTAATACGAAATATAGCGGAGTTTCTGCTAAATTAATAGGCGTCATCTATTGGCTACACCATGAATTTATTGCCCTCGGAGTGAAATCTTGTTTAGCGGAAAAGTCATTGTTAGATCGTGTAATCGTTGCGAAAAGAGATTTGCGTGATTGAATTTGGACGTTGAGAACCTACTATCTTATATTAGAATCCTGTCTCATAATAGAGGCCTATCCTCTATTATATTTGCAGTACTGACACAATTACAATTGCATGTAATCTTCAAACGATCGACTGTTATCCAAGGGCTTTCTTGCTCGGTGGTGCTGAGCAACTCTTGGCTCCAGGAGCATTGCTCACTTTAGACTATTATGACGACACGTTACACATATTTGCAGTACAGACATAATTAAAATTGCGTGCAATCTTTGCTCTCTAAAAATCAATCAGTGGATCATCGCTGAAAGCAGTGAGTAGTCACTGATTTACAGTTGCAAATGTACCGCTGTGATTTTCCGTGGATTACTTGGAATTGTAAATCAGTGACTCACCGCTGTCACTGATAATTCACTGACTTTTAGAGAGTGAACGATCGGCTGTTATCCGCTACGCAGCTACAAAATCCACCGCCCGATTTAACAATGCTGCGCTATAATCTTGAAATAAATTCAATTTAATGCAAAATTTCGCTTTTTGTTTTTTGTTTTACCAAAACGCGCACGAACACTGCATAGCGCATACCAATGAATTTGGCGTTTCTTTCGGGAGGGGGGGAGGAGGAGGAAGAGCGCCGGAGAACGCGCAGCTGCGCTTTGTTAATTAAACATACCGTACTTTTTATTCAGGATAGTCAGAATGTGTCTGCTTTCGGTGAAAAACCGTGACATTCTGGAAACTAGAAGGATTCGTAAGCCGCGAAGTTAACGGATGTAGATTAGAGCTGCGCGCGCGCGCGCGCGCGTAGGTAACAAAACGTCCGCCGTAAAATTTAGAACTTAAGGAATCTCACTGCTGGGAGACGTCGCGCCTCCGCCGCGACTCCGTCCGCTTGCATTTCTTAAGTTTTAAGAGGTAAGCCGAATACCCCGTGCTTCTCCGCTCGCAGGCACTGAACATCCGTGGCTTAGTGCTCGCCTGTTATCCTTAACTTTCGTGTTCCTGGCATTCCCCGCGTCTGCCTCGCGAAATACACCCGGACAAACTGTCGCACTAAATTTGCAAAAAGTTGCATATCTATTCCAAACGATCGTCCCGCGTACACGCGCGGCTTTTCACGGCGCGCTCGCCGATATGTCTACGACGCTGAAAATAAAAGGAGCGTACAATTTCCGCGGCGCGGCGCGCGCGCGCGCGCGCGCGCGCGCTTATTTCGCGACGGGGGATCAAAGGGCCCTCGAAGAGATATTTTTAGAGGAAATGAATTTTCGAGTTCGTTGAGGAACGACTCTGTCGGCCCCGCCGCTTAAATCTCTGCGCAAGGCGATTTATGTTATTGAAACGCCCGCTGACTCGGCCTGAAATCACCTGCATGCGAGATAAGCTGTAAAGCGGCGGTCGGGCCACACGAGCCGCTGCGCAGGCTCTTTAGTTAATTAGTTGCAGGCGCCGATTTATGCGCCGTCGTCACGGCAAAAAAAACGTTAAATGAGAGAGAGAAAAAAAAGAGCAGCCGATAATGCCAATTACGTTTAATAGATTTTGCGTTTCACCCCCTCCTCCCCCCCCCCCTCCATGTGCGGCAGATTTTGGAATTGAGCTAACGCGGCTTTTTCGACTAATGAAGTAATTAAATCGACCGCGGTTTACTGTCCGCCGAATATTTCGTGATCTCCAGCACCCGCGCGCTGCTTTCGGCCCCCGGGATTACGCCGGAAGACATAAATTGTCACCTTCGGCCGCGCGAAATCGATT